CCACCAGGAGAGTGTTCACTTCTGCAACTCCCGTGAAGGCACCAAGGAGAGACTGGGTGAGAGGAGGCAGGTGCTAGTCAGTACAGAAGAAAAGGAGCGAGAAAGGAGGAGACCCTGGAAAATCAGGACAGGTGGGATAAGCTGCGGAAACTAGCTGCACGTGGGGTAACTAGGGTCAAGGTGAAGGAACTTTTCAGCTGAAAAACAAAGGGTGTCAGCATTTTTTTAAAACAGCATTTTTAGAGAAGCAAACAAAAGTTTAAAAAAACCTTTTTCAAGAGACACATCTAAAGAATAAGGACCTAGGAAAATTATTCTAGGAAAATACTAACCCAAAGAAACTTAATACCCCGATGTTAAGGTCAGTGGCGAAAAAACAACTTTAAGGCAAATTACTTAGTTATCGCTTATTGATTCACTAGAAGATAAACAGTTTAAATCTGTATGCATGTAAAACATAACTTCAGACATTCTTAGGAAGAAATTAGCAAGCCATTAAGAGAATTTGACAGGCATTTCAGCAGAAGCTTAACACGCCTCTTTGAATTAAGGCCAAGAAGACAAGCACACAGAAGGCCCTGACGGCAGTCGGGGAGCCTGGCTCGACCGCCGCGCACTGGGCTCCCCCCCAGCGTGGCTGTGGAGGTCGTGAAAACGTTTGCAAAGCTTGACCACGTGCCAGGTCAGAAAGAAGACTCACAGTCTTTCAAAAATTGGAATTGTAGAGACTCTTACCACAAAGCCATTAAGTTGAAATCAACAGTTAAAAGGTGACCTAAAACCAAACAAACAAACTTGTCTTTACTGGAAGTTAAGGAGACCAAAAGCCCAAAGTAAACGGAGAGACCTGCGATACTCAGGGTGGGACGTTCAAGTATCTGAACCGCATCGGCTCTCCCCAAAGTGAGGTGCAAACGCAACACAATTGCAGTCAGAATCCTGACGGGTGGCTTTAAACGTTACCTGACAGCACGAAGCTGACACCCGTCAAGCTGCTGACACAGAGGCCGCATGGTACGGAGATGTCCTCGCAGACGGAGGGCCCACGGGCCGTGCTCTCGAGGCGTGTGGTCTGGTCCCGGCGTCCCCAGACGGGGCCAGACGTCGAGGAGGACCCCTGGCCTGGGCCAGAGCTGCCGACGTGGGTCAAGGAGAAAAATGGACTGGCCGTGAGCGGTGCGAGGAGGCGAGTCGTCAGGTGGGAAGCCACTCCCCTGCATCAGCAGCTTCCACACAGGACAGGGAAGTCTACGCTGTCCGAAGAAAACATGGAACAGCTTTCAGTTCGCAGGTCCAGGAAATTTTCTTAAAACATAAGCACAAACCATAAAAACATTGATGGATTTGACTCCATTAAGATGCTTGAAGTCTCTTTCTCTAAAGGCACCGTGTGGGGGGTTGCTTTTCAAGCACATGTAACTAAAGTAGGATGAACAAAAGAGCAGAAGACACAGGCAGGCACTTCGCGGGAGAGGAGACAGGAACTCGGGTCAGACCGCCGGGCTGGCCGGCGTGCCGCGCCCACCTGGCGGCGGCTCCGGAGCTGTCCACTACGAGTGCTTAGGATTTTCGTGTTTGTCAGTTTTCATATCCTGGCACAAAGTCAAATGGAAAAGGCAAGTTATGGAGAAATGTCTGCTAGGGTCCCCGCTGCTGGCCCCACCCTCTGCCCTCCCCGCCCTTCCCGCCCACTGATTTGTAGGTGCTGGTCAGATGAGAAAGTCTAATTTTATTTTATCTTATTTTCTCTTCTTTTTATGGCAGAAATATCTCAAAAAGTGGAAAGTTCCCTTAGCACTTAGTCCTGCTCCCTCCTTTTAAAACATGCAGAAGTTGAGCCCCAGAGAGGCCAAGTTCAGGCAGAGCCCAGGCAGACGCGTGCGCTCTCCTGGCCGCTCACCGCCACCTGCCGGACGGGCGTGTATCCAGGCACCACTGTCCAATCCAGCTCTTCTCCACGATGCCACTTCACCTTTGAGGGGGCTTATCTGCTGGTGTGGCCTCTGTCTCCTGAGCAGCAGCAGACACGTTGCAGTGGCACAGGACAGGGTTGCAGAGCCAGACGTTCTGGGTTTGAGCAGGGCCCTCCTCATGGGCTCTTGGCTGTGCCTGTAACACGCGTGGCCGGCGGGCTCTGGAGTGGACCCCCGACATGCTCCGCACCCGTTTGACAGTGAGGGGGAGACAGCCAGACCAGAGGAGCATCGGGGGCTGCGGAGGCCGGGGGCAGTGGGTGGGGAACCCTGCTGGCTTATGATGCGCATTTGCCCATTAACGTGGACAGCGCCACACAACTTGCATCCACTCACAGGGAGCCCCGTCTCACAGGTGAGGGTACAGATCCACGCGACCAGACCTGCCTGTCTTCAAGCCAGCCAGTGCTGGGGCCGACTCGGGCCGGTTCTGCCACCCCTAGAGTTCCACTCTCCCCTGCCATCCCGAACAGCGTGCAGCTGTGCACTCCTGGGGACTCGGTGACAGGCAGCAGTGGGCCCTGCCCTCCTGGGGACCACGCCAGCCCTGCTGTCGGACGCACTGACACATGACAGGGGAAGAGCAGACCAGGAGCAGAGAGCAGCCAGGCCAGGGCTGCTTCGGTCCTTCAGTGCTGGCGGATACCACTGCCCACAGGGCCACCCCCAGGCTCCCCCCAGCCCTGGCCCCGGGTGAAGGGCTGGAGCCCCCAGGACTCCGGTCGCGTGCCAGGCCCACTGCCTGCAGCAGCGCCGGGTCTGCGTGGAACCCAGTGGCGGTCAGAGCAGGTAGCCTGCCTGCCCTCAGCTGGTCTTTGCTCTTCAAGTTGACGCCTGCCGTCTCCAGAAACGGGGCTCCTCCTCCCTCCCGGGAGTGGAGCCCTTAAGCCTCGTCCCCGTGCTCGCTGTGCGTGTGTTCAGGGGAGAGGAGCCATGCGGCAGGGTCCCCGGCCCCCAGCCCCTTCTTTCCCGCAGGATCATCTCGCCCGCGGCAGGCACAGCAGGTACGGGCCACCTCTCACCTCTTGTCCCCGTGAGGGTGTTTCCCGGTGAGCCCTTCTGCTGTGGTCACACTGAGCCTGGTGGTGGGAGGTCACAGGCAGACCTGCCGGGCAGCAGGTGTGCCGTCAGCCCCCGGCCCCTCCTTGCTGGGGACTCCCACCCAGAGCTGAATCTGACCACAGTCCCCATGTCCCGCCTCAGAACCTCCAGGCATGCCAGCTGAGCCTGGAAGGTGGCTGGTCCTCCCCAGGCAGGCCACCCAAGTGCCAGGGGCATCGAGGGAGGGCCGCTTTCACGACAGCTCGCCCTTTCCGAGGAGGGAGGGAGGGGACCCTCTGTGGTGGCAGATGCTGCAGGAGTAGCCACCCGAATCCCAGCGGCTCCCACAGCTGAGCTTCTGCCTGGAAGGCGAGCCCGGGGCTGCGTCCGCCTGCCTCGCGCCAAGGCCCTGACCTGCAGAAGCGGGAAGAGGCTGGGCCAGCCCACCAGGCTCCACCAGCCCCTGTCCCCACAGCTGCACCTGCAGGGCAGTGGACAGGGAGGGGCCGTTGGGGGGCGGAGGTGATCCTTCACATACTGGGAAGGGGCATTTGGTGTCTAAATTGTTAGGAGAGCCTGCCGGCCTCAGGCCAGCAGCAGCCCACTCCTCTGTCCCCCGAGGGCTCGTCCATGTAGGTGCAGGGAGAGCCCAGTGCTCGTGCCTCCCTGACACGGATTCTGCACGGCAGGACCCGGGTGGTGACTGGTCAGAGCCTCGTCTCACCTGGGACGCCTGCAGTGCTCCGATGGCCCCACCCACCAGCCGCAGGGCTCCGTGGGGCCCCATCCTCGCCTTCAGACAAGAGTCAGGGTGCTGAAAGCCTGCTCTGGGACGCATGGGGGCTGGTCTCCGTCTGGGGGGGGCTGGGAGTTGCGTGCGGTCCTGGAATGCGCCACCCCACCTTCCGCTCGGCTGAGGACACCATGGCCCCGGAGTCTCCAAGGGTGGGCGGTTCCAGCGTTCAGCCAAGTCTCACTACATTCACCATTACTTTCTGTTATTTTTAGTGTTTATTTAAGAAAGGAGGCTCGAATAAAAATAACTAAGGAAAGTGCAGTTCAGAGCCCCACCGAAGTCTGGGGGGTTGGGGTGGGGGACAGGCAGGAAGGTCCCAGACAAGCCCTGCGCCCTCTGGGGGGCAGCTCTCACAGCACACCTCTGTCGTCCCGGAAGTCACAGGGGACACCCTGCAGGTGGCCCCCTCCAAGTCACCCTTGGGTAAAGCCGGGGCCTGCAGGGGAGGCAGGCCAGCCAGGCAGCGGTCCAGGCCCGGCCCGGGGCTGCGTCCGGCATGGGGCTGGCAGGACAGAGCGGCCCATGGGCTCCCCTAGATGCGCTTGAGTCTGCGAGTGACAGCATGACGTCGAGGCGCTTGGGGCCCAGCCGGTCCTGCTCTGTGGCTCTCGGACCCTCCCGTAGAGCCCGAGGCCAGGCGGCCTCCGCACAGCCTGGCCACAGGAGAGGGGCTGGTTCAGGCGGGAGCTGCCAGGCAGCCGAGGGGAGGAAGGGACCCGGTGCGCCCACCGCCCGCAGCCCATTGGTCACCCCAGGCCAAGTCCTTGAGCGCTGCTGCGTCCGCCATGTGTCGCATGGCCCCTCCTATCTACCTGTGCAGAGTTCTGTTACGCGTGTTTGATTTGGTGTGACTTCCACTCGATGACAATAACCTTCTTAGCTCTCGTGTCCCTCCTGCCCCCGCAGCTGACCAAGCTCCACCAGCTGGCCATGCAGCAACCCCCCTTTCCTCCCCTCGGACAGACCAACCCCGCTCTCCCCGGTACGTACCCGCGCCCTCTGACCTGCTCCCTTCTCGCCGGGGGCTTCCCGCGCTGTCTGCGTCCCAGGCAGCGAGCCGCGCAGGCACGGCCCTGTCGTGATGCCGGGGGCGCAGGTCCCCATGCAGCCGAGGGCGGCGGGAGGTCTGTCTGTG